AAACACATTGTAGTGACATAAAAGCACAGTCATCCATTTTTGGATGAATCCATCCAGTTATCCAGTTCTGACAGTTTCATTCAGAAAACTTTTGTGGCAATATTTAAATTAATGACCAGCCTCTCAAGAAAACATCTGATAGAAAAATATTTGAAATGTGCCACGAAAGCATGCCTATGTCCTAGCATAAAATGCTTTAAAGGATTTAAAATGCTTTAAAATGATTTAAAGGAAGAAGAGCAAATATAACCAAAACCTCCAAGAATCCAAAGACCCTGAAAGATGATAACAGTACAGGAACAGAACAGAAAGGAAGAGGAGGAGGAATTAGATCTGAAGGAACAGCTAATTTATTAATTTTTCACTACTAATTTGGGATTTAAATATCAAAAAGTAAATTACTCACAGGGGTCAATGACACTGATTACCAGAAAGATACAATATTTATGAGAAATTGTTGACTTATACTTTACCTTAGCTGGTATTTTTATAAAGGACTTTTTGGGTTTTTTTATTCCAATAGAAATAAAAAAGTTATTGAGAGAACATTTAGTCCCTCCCACATATTTGCATTTCAAATCTTGCAGCATTGTGCTAGTGCATGATCAGAAATCATTCCAGCTGAGCAGAACAATTGCTTTAATCATAGCTATTGTAGCCTCTCTCAAAGTTAAATATAGTTATTAAAATTTAAAGAAAGCAGCAACCCAAACCCCTCAGGTATTCTAAGGTGCACAAGGATAATAGCTTGATGCTTGATTAAACACAGGGAGGTTGTTTGGACTGATGTCAGCACCTGCATGAAACATTTGTGCTTTATGCCCAAGCTAGACAGCTGTGGCCATGGCTGGCTGGAACAAAATGTTCTTTCAGCACAAGTAATATTTCATCTCTCATTGTCAAAACAACATGATCCTGCTGGTCCATACAATTCATTAGCAAGTCTAAATAACTAGTGTCACTGGTGTAAAGGCCTCCCATCTCCTAGCCATTTGCTACAACCCTTACTTCTTTCCTGCAGTGCCAGTCTGGTTATGGGATACAGCCATCCATCACACTCAAGCAAGGTTACGTGAATTTGTTCACAGAATTTGGGGGAAAAAAAGAATAATGGAACTTTGCACTGCACAAAATTCAGGTTTGTGACTCACTGATGGCCCAAGATCAAAACAAGAACCACCACTCTGTGGAATACTCCCAGCAAACCCTTGTTCTGGTATTATAGTAATCATCTGCTAAAACACAACTACCAAACTGCATCTTAATTGGCAACTCCACCATGTCAGGGTATTTTATGACCAAAAGTTGATGAGTCATAGAGAACTGGAGAGAAAGTGCTCACATTTGAGAGGAGGGAGTTTTACAGTCCAGCAAAACTCCAGATAAAGCTCCTGAGAACATCATCAGTGGAAGACCAGCTGTGTAAACACAAAGGAAAATATATCTGGATTAAGTTCATCAGCTTCTGAAGTTACTCTATATTTGCATCAATGTAATGGAGAAGAAGCTGGCCACTGGGCAAAAAAAAGTACTGTGTCTCAGATGACATCAAGAATGCAGCTTTGAACCCAAAAAGAAGGCAATTGCCTAGAACACTGAATGGCCTGAGAACAGCCACAGCAGTAGTCCTTACAAGTCCCAACACTGACCGCTGTTTCCTCTTTTCTGCTGCAATTCAAGGAGGAACAGAGAATATGGGGTAATAAGGGATGTATTCTGACAGCAGTAACAAGGACATCATGCATAGTTCTTAAGAGCCTCAGCTCCCAGAGAAGATCACTTTATTTGCAGGGCTCCATTTTGTTCATATTCATAACAAACCTTAACCCAAGTCCTCAAAGCAGCTGGACATGCTTCTAACTCAGTCTGAAAATGTGCAGAAAGAGTATTATTAAATGAGTATTCTTGCATGCCAACATTGAAATCATTAACAGAAAATCTGATTGGGGCAGAATTCATGTTGAGGCAGGGGTAGTGTGTGCCTGAGGCAAGGCATGGTGACACGACATGCCTTTGTTTTCCAAGCTCAAAGGACCAAAGAAGCCTATGTTAAGCATTAGCCAGATAAGGACAACTGATTCCTATCTATTTACCTATTAAGCCAGTGGCTTGGAGTCGGATTTTTTTTGTTGTTGTTCTGACTGTTAGTTTATTGCAGCTGAAGAAATGATAGCATCACTTTTCTTCATCATTTAATCAAAGCATGTAAGCAGGAGACAAAAAGGTACACTGTAAACCAGAGCAAACCTTGAACTCTCTTGACACATTTAGCCTTGATCTGACTGGAGCTGAGAAAAGAAGATGAGGAAAAGTCACGGAAGCAGACATGGACACCAAAACTACAGAAGCCACAGAAACATGACTTCAACACCAGAGGCTGGAATAACAATCCCACTAAGGAGTTGTTTCAGGCAGGGTTAAGAAGGGGAGGCAGGGTGGGCAGGTTGAAATCTTCCTCCACCTGCCTCCTTCTCCCCACACTGATTCTACACTGGAGTCTTCCTCTAACATTCTTATCACTGTATTTTCAACCAATTCTGCTCCTTCTCCATTGTCAATGAAGAAGTAGCATCTCAAGCTGCAAATCCAATCCTACCCTCTACATACCAAGCAGACTTTATCCTACACTTAAAAGTGGGGGGAGGGGGTGAGCATCACAGCATGGAAGGATTCTTTATATTGTAATTTGGGGGTAGAGGGCAAAATTTTGTTCTCTGGATTAATAAGCTTTCAAATAATATACTAGCATTTAAACCATGAAACAATTTTAAAGCACTGGAGCATTATTAATGAGCATTTACATTCCCTCAACAATGTCAAAGATCCAGCAGCTTCAGATATCACAGTACAGAACACAACACAAAGCTGTACTTTTACTTGCTTAGTAATATTATGTTTATCATGATCCCATAAATATTTCATCAGGTTTATTGGTAAGATAAAGGCATGTGATCTACACCTCATATATCGTCCTTTGTACTCCCAAGGAAGTGAGAGAGGTACAGTTATTACCTTTATCATTATCTTCTCCTCTTCCACCTTCAGCTGCTGCTTTAACACAGGCTGCAAGCATATTACAGAAGCAGTAACCTTGATTTTGGAACAGCTAGAGTTCACACACCTCTCACCATGGCACTGCACACTGTTTCGTTCTCCCTCTGTGACCTTCAACAGGAACAGAATTAATCAACATGGTGTGCTTAAAAACAATTCCAGCCCTTTACATGTCTCTTCTCACAGAATTAGAAACATCAAGATCAGATCAAAGGAAGTAAGTATCAGCTTTAACACAAATATTTTTTCACATTTTGTTAATATTTTTACACCAATATTTACACTAATATTTTGTTATCCTCAAAGTAAGAGTAATTTTACCTTCCTAGTTACAGAAGCCTCACGTAAAGTGTGAGACAATGGATGCTTGAAAAGATTAAAGTTAAATCTTTCTGTTCCTGTTGTAGACCTGCAGTCCCTCCTAGACATGAATACAGTATATGAAGAACCTGACTGGAGTCTTGGGAATCTGAGAACTTGCCTGTTTTTTCTGAGTTGGTCTATTTAAAAAATCTTGTCTTGCAGAGCAGTGTATTTTAGGAGTAGTGTCTGATGCCATGTTTTCTAGAAACAGCAAAACAAAGACTTTTCAGAGAAATTTTTGAGGCATGACATATACAGGATATGAATAACTTCAACCTGTTGACCCATATCCCCCCAGGTGCCTCCAAATTAAGAAAAAAAGGGCATTTTCTTTCTCAATAAATGTGAGTAACTCCCCACCACATTTTTCTATTTATTTTCTATTCTATTTCTCTTTAAATTGTCAGAGATAAAAGCAGAAATGAAAGTGTGACATCTGGATGTTTCACAGAGGAATATCTTTAGCTCTTACAGATGTGAAAGATACAACATTGTTTCTTCAGGATGGAGAACAGATCCCCTTAGAGAAGTCTATATCTAATAATCAAAAGAAAAGTTTTGTGTCTTAAACTAGTTTGGGATTATATAACCTTTTTGGATAGCAACATGATAATTTTCTTCAGTAATTTCTTTTAAATTCTTACAGAGAGCTTTTGCTGACTAAGAAATCACCCTCAATTTTAACATACTAACAGGACTTGAATGAACATAAATAAGTAACTTGCAACATCAATCCTGTCTCTTGCAATGGTGTCTCTGAGCCAGATTTTTTTTCTTTTTTAAAATATACTGGGGAAATGACAGAAATAACTCTTGATATATGCACAGAATATAGCAATGAGAGTGTGTGCAGCAAGAGAGATCTGAAAATTTAAAATTTAACTAACTGTATGAAATTCGGGGGGAAATTCCAGAAAATACTGTCACATGCTTTGCCACTAGAGACAGAGTCAATCTACTAAAGAGATTAAAAGTTCATTCATATATCTTTATTTTTTTGCAATGAATTCAGGCTCATTCCCGTTCCTCTGCAACAAAACCTTCTGTTGCTTATTCCTCCTACAAATCACAGCCAAATCCCAGGAAAATCCAGAGAGACTTTATAAAAGGACATTTGTTAGCACTGCTCCTCCTAGTACAAAGTGTTCAGAGAAGACTGTGAGCATTAGGAATGCAGATGGTTTAATAGCCCTTTTGCATACAGTAAGATTAAGATACCCACAGCATTTTCATATTTGGGAAGGCTGACTGACCCATACTAAATCCTAGTTAAATAACAGAAGGCAACCTCCAGCTCTTTACATTCACCTGCCTTGCCAGGGGCAGGAATTAGAGAGCTCAAAGATTTCACTCCATGCAATACATGGGACACAGAAATTGAGTACAAGTGAGAAATGCACTTTTCATTTCATGAGTTCCCTGAAAAGCACTAACCCTAGAAGAGGACAGAGAGGCAACTTCACAGCTCACTCTCAGATTTCACTAAGCATGACTGACTCCACCCCTCTTAGCCATATATCTACTGTATCACCACATCCAGCCAGGGACCTTGGTCTGCAAAATAGCTGAAAGCTCCCCTCAGGATGAGAGGAAGGCGACTAGTCTGTGGAATTTGGAGTCTGTGTTTCCTGTTCTGTCTTTTCTGCATCTTTCTTCATCAAACAACAGCTAAAAGAAAACTGAAGTTTGTGTCCCTAGTAAGTATGGCCAAATGAAATTTGTTCAAAACCTGTCACTTACTACTCTTCTTGTACTCTAGGGTAGAGGGGAGGGGGCACCTTTTCAAATATTTAAATGTTTCCTCCGTATTCAAAATTCATTATTGTATTGTCCAAAAAAACAATCTTAATTTTGAATAAGATTTTATAATTTTGTCTCCTTTGTGCACTCCTACATGAACTTACTTTTTGGATGGATATAGAATGCTTATTTTATAGAACTAAGTGAAAAATAACACAGGATTCTGTTTTAAATGTAAAATAGGATTTCATAAATACCAACTAAATACCAACTGTGCAAAAACCCTCTTTACTATGGAAAAGTTTCCACTTTTCCAGTGGTTTCAATGGACTAAGATACAAAGTAAATTTCAGTATGTGAAACTCAAACAAGTGTACAATGACGTTGAACAAGCAACACAGAAACCAGTGCTTTGAAGTTAATGCTATTTGCAATGGTTATGATGTACCATTTATTTTCTGGAAGCCTGAATCTTACTCTGAACATCACACACACAAACAAATAATTAATTTTTTTTTCTTGCAGGTTTTGATTTAATTTCTCCCTGCTTGGATTAAGAATTTTTTTTTTAAATCTTACAATTTTAGAATCATATGGCAAATATCTACAGGAATTATTCTGCAAAGCATATGAAGCAGAGAATTCATCATATGAATGAAAAAATCCAATGTAACTTATAAATACATCTTTTATCTGAAGTGAAATTTCAAAACAGGTTCAATGTTTTCAGAGCAACAGTTTAGCCTGTATTTATATATTAGATAACACTTCTATCACCTCTTGTGATGAAAAAGCCAACATATGACTTTTTAAGGCTAATTTCTGCCAAGTAAGAGAACTTCACAGGAGGCAGCCACAGAACTGTTACTTCCAGTAATAGTTTTGGTTTTTTCCTTTTGAATCCCAATTTAGTCATACCAAAATACTAATGTTCAAATATCTCTGAAAAAATACTAACATGCTTCTGTTTGTTTTCTGTTTATTTAATATTATGGTCTATACCTTCTAAAATACATAAGATCTCTTTAAAATATAATAGGGTATCCTGTAGTTTTTATAACTTGTAAAAATTCATTTGAGCTAATTTATTCTCAAATGCCAAAAAAGAACCAGTTATGTTTGTCTAAATAAATTAAACAGGAAATGTAGCTATCTAAATTTAAGGCAAGAACCATTAATATACTTAGCATCTGTCAGATACAGTACTCGCTGTCATAGCATATTCCTTGTGACTACACTAATTAGTAATAATCACCACAAAAAATACCAGTAACACAAAAGCAATTTCATCTCTTTTATCAGGTATTTCGCCATGGTGATCATACCCCACAGGAGTTTTTCCCAACTGATAAGCATAAAGAAATTGCTAGACAACAGGGATATGGCCAACTTACCAAGGTGAGTTTGTTTACCTGGGCAAAGAACTGAAATATTGAAAGAGGTTGTGTTGATATTTGGGGGTTAGAGCTTTGCTTTCACTTAGAGAAAGCCCTTATTAAGTTGCTACTTAAGGACAGCCAACTTATGAACAAACTACAGCAACATCACTCACTAATTTTGAAGGAAACTGAGTCAGCCTGTTCTGATCCAGTGTCACCATATGTTGAGCTTTTTGATTGCAGACCAGGATCTTCTGGGAGGAGCCAGGCACTGATGACCACCTCAGTTCACCTGAGACCATACAGGAAGATTTAACCATCAGTAGCAGAAGGTGATGGAAGTGCTGACAGACACAACCCTCCCTTAATCTCTGTTGAATAGAAGTGCTTCCTTACTCACAAACTGTTAAGTTCAGTACAAGCAGAAACTTTTCTTATGCTATGCCCAAGAAAGTTGATTTAAAACTCAACTGGTTTAGTGCAGGCATTTTTGGAATCAGCTGTTTCCACAAATGTGCCACAGATATACAGTAACTGTGCTGCTGAACCAGAAGCAGCACAGATTCTGTATCTGACAGATGTTGTGCCTGCCTTGACTGTAACTTCTAGAAGCTGCCACCTCTTACAAATGGAGCCACAGGTGAACTGTACTATCAGACTGTAAGGCAATATTTAGACACTGGGTGTTTTTTCCCCTCCCACTGGCAGGACCACTATGTCTGTGTGCTTGTGCCTCATTCCTTTTTCCCCAAGATATGTTATTTGGATTGAAAAAGCTGCCAGTTATTTGCCCAGCACTCAGAACCAGGCAGTCTCCCTGAAGTAGTTGAGAAGTGCCAGAAGTCTGGTTGCCCCAGACAAATGGCTACAGTGCATGTGGAGGCAGACCTGAGGTGTGTCTCTCTGCTAGGGACACACACCTTATGTCCAATGCGTCTCTCTCCTAAAAGAACTCGCCAGGTCACCAAAATCAGAATAGAACAAACTGCCTGAGGGGTTCCTCTTCCCCACTGTTCTTAGGAGGCAAAACTGGTCTCCAAAGCAAATCAGGCCTGTTTCTGCTCATGTCACTCCCTTGAAGAAACAGGAGTAACAGAGCAGCTTCCCGACTCAGCTGTGATTCAATCATTCCATATAAACACTATGCAAGTTCAGCAATCCATGCCAGCTTGCTCCAAGGCATAGAAGACTTCAAGACCCAGGAGTCAGGGCTTAACAACATGAACATGCATATTAGGCAAGTTGGGGCAGAAGCCTAAACCACACATATAGCCTAGGAAACTGGATGCACAATTCCAGCAAGAGGTGATCACATGCACACACAGTGGGTCCTGAGTAACTCCTAGCTGACTTGGCTTTGAGCAGGAGGTTGGACTAGAGACTTCCTGAGGCCCCTTTCAGCCTGAATTATCCTCTGATCCCACAACTTAGAAAATTGCTTTAGGAAGCAATGAGTACTGTACTTGAGATCCCAGTGTACAGTAATGATTACATGAGCTAAGTGGAAAATATTTAAATTTAGGCCAGTATAAGTAAAAAGATGACAATATAGACTATTACAGGGACATTGTGTATGATTGTGGCGGAGTCAACACCCCAGGGGTGTTTAAGGAAAGAGTGGATGGTACCTAATTCCATGGTCTAGTTGACCTGGGAGCGTTAGGTAATAGGTTGGACTCAGTGATCTCAGAGGTCATTTTCAACCTAACTGATTTTGTGATTCAGTGATTCATGTGTCATGTGTTCACAAAATTATGTTGGTAGGTTGAAAGATGCTCAGCTAAGAGCTACTAAAATGTTGGGACTGGAAAAATTTTGCTTTGAGGGTAGAGAATTGTCATCAGTTTCATTTAACACAGAGATAAAGTGATTTGATTCCATTTTATGGATTATTGTTTAACTGTGAATAAGATCTGTGATGGTGAATGTTATTCAAAAGTGTAACAAGATTCAGTGACTGAAAGTTGGGAACATAATCAGGCAAGAATCAAAAATCAAATGCTTCAGACTGTCGATAATAATTAACTATTGCAGAAAAAGGCCCAAAGGCTTGGAGGACTTTTACCTCAAAACTTCTGTTCTGAAAAACTAGATCTTGCCCAGGCTAAAACTCTAGCCCCCATAAGGAATAGAGCATCTGGTGATGCTCTATGGGATTCATATCCTGGATGTGTCTCCATGGACAGGTGGCTGCTCGGTCTGCACTCCCAGTTAATCATCTCTGAGACAGCAATAGAGTAGAAAGTAGACAGATGGTGTTGGAACATCTCTATGCCTGCTTTAAGTCTCACTAGCTCAGATAAACATACACATAGCTTTCCACAGAGCAAAATACAAAACTGCATCCACCAGGAGTCATAGCTAACATTATCCAACACCATACATGCAGCAACTTCACTACTTTTTTCTCATGTCTTCTTTCCTAATTCAATTTGAAAAAGAAAAAAAAGTCTTTATTAAAATAATATCAAATATTATTGCATTATTTTTTGGTTGTATGAATGGATGCATAGCACATTTCTTTAGCCTCTCATGCTCTTGTGTTACTTCTACAGCTTGGCATACAACAACAGTATGAGCTTGGCCAGTACCTGCGGAGGAGATACTCTCACTTCCTGAGCATTGTATACAAGCAGTGTGAGGCAAGTACTGGATCTGGGCAGGAAGATGTTTTTCATGGTTGTTAATGGGACTTCCTGGATGCATAAGAGTCTAAACCTGGTGCAGTTGAAGAAAATTTAATACCAATTGAAGTCAATGTCATTCCAAATATCCAAAGTATCCCTGAAACTGTAGTTCAGCTTTTATCCTGATGGCTGCATGAAAACCACAAAAAATTCTTTTTAGGCTGCACATCAGGTTCAGCTCCCTCACTGCTGTATGGCAGAGCATCTATGTCAAATACCTCCAATGCTACACTTCCACATGGGATGCAGATACAACTCAGTTTTCATCTAGATTCCAGCTTTTCAGTGCACATACGATGTGCCAAAGCCTAGAGGGTCAAACAGAGTCAATCTCATGCTGTCTACCAGGATTACTAAGATGTTACCCTGCTGCAGCTCAGTTGTCCAGCAAAATTTTATTCCAGCTGCAGTCTTTCTCCTTCTTCCTTCTTTCTCATAGTCTTTCTTCATGTCACTCCATTTTAATGACAACTTCCCCAGTACCAGCCCCTTTTTTTCCTACAAAGACAATAAAGTAAACCTAATGAAAGAAATTACCATCCAAAATGTTTCTTTTTCTTTTTTTTTTTCTTCCTTCAGATTTATGTTCAAAGCACTGACTGTGATCACACACTTATGAGTGCTCAGGCAAGTCTTGCTGGACTGTACCTTCCAACACAGGATCAGATTTGGAACCCCAAAATCCTTTGGCAGCCAATTCCAGTTCACACAATGCCACTGTCACAGGATAATGTGAGTATAAACTAGGGGCATCTACTTTCCCTTGATCATTAGTAAAGTACATAGGACATGAGATGAAGGTGCAGCAAAAAGTGCATGTTAGAGGCAATAAAAGAACATTGTTACAAGCATTTTGCAGAAATGCTTAATAAGCTGATTAGAAGTGTTGGCAAGTATTTCCACAGGAATGGACTTGCATATCAGAGACATGATCTTGACAAAAGAGAAAGAAAAATGGGAGTACTGGGTATAAAGAAAAAGAGTTCATTTATAAGGTAAATCACTGTAAAAGTAGATTAATTCTAAATTTAATGCAAACATTATTTTCTTTGTGTGACAAGAGAAAACATACTTAATCTCACTAGTGCTTCAGAATTGCATAGTCCACAGCCAATGGAAAAGACAAAAGAATCATTCTGGGACTTACATTATGGTAAGAATTGAGCTACAGGATTCTTTTTCATGCACTTTGCAGGTCAGTGCATGTACTCCAAGGACTGGTGAGAAAAGTTAAAGGGGAAAGGAAGGAGGACTCAGACCTTTAAGCACAAATTCATAGGGCAATATATTGATTCATCTCCCTTCCTCAGCTCCTCGCTTTGGAGTTGTAAGGAATCCTGTGGATAGCAGCTCTGTAGCTTGCATATACTTGTCCTAGAGGGCAAAGCTGTGCAGCTGGCTGGAGCTGGAACATCCTGTGTGTGGAAAATCTATGATAAAAAGTTAAGATCAGGAGTGTGCAGCATGAGTCCCAGTTTGTGAGAGCAGGTTTGCACTTGTGATGCAAGATAAATTGTGTGGGCTTTACAAGTCTAATTAACACAGTCTGTGATGATAAGGAAATCACGTCAGAGAGGTCATGGAGCAATGCTTCTCACCTCAGGGTGATGAGAGCATGAAGATGGAAGGTATGGAGAAATGTCTTCCTCTTCACACACACAGCCAGACACAGTCAGGAGCTGCTTCTGACACTGTCACAGGTGGGGATATCCCAGCAGAGAGACAAGAATACCCAGCCAGTATCAACACAAAAGGAAAACTCAGCAAGCAGGTGCTGCACCTCATTCACATCTAGGGGAGCAAGGAAGTTTATTCAAACAAATCATAAAGTCATGGACACATGCACAGTTTTCATACTTTTTTCAACTATTTGTGTTTTAACTTTATTTATCCTTACTGCATATACAGGCTAAACCTGAGACCACATGTATCCTACAGCACAAAACAAGTGCCCATCATTTATTGGTGAAATCATGCCTGTTCATGAACCTATGGCTATAATTCACAAATACCTTCCTATCTTGTGGAATGCATAGACTGTATTTCTAAAAAGATTGAGGAACTGCTGTGAAGCATTCCAAGCTAATTATCCCTTCAAATCTCTCAAGTTCTTTTCAAAGTTCTTTTAATATTGGGACTATATAGATGGAGCTACATTACTGGGAAAAAGACAAAAAAGCACATTAGGAAAAAGCACTAATATTAATCAGTGTCAAATTTTAATTTTTGTTTAAAATTTAGCACAGAAAATGAAAGTTAACTCAATTTAGCTAACATATATAAATACATACAAATGAAATAAGTTTTTAAGATATTCCAGCCATATGTAACCTTCATATAGCTTAGATTAATGAAAGACAGAACTGAGTTACAGAAAGTTCACAAGTTTCTACAATTTAGCTGAACTAAATGAAGCTGTGTTAAATAGACTCAATACAGTTGAGTATGCACAAAGAATCCTATTGCAGTCCAGCTGCTGCTTTGTAATTTGTTGTAAAAATGTGATGGTGTGTTTAAAGAAAGATTGAATACAATGAATGGAATCATCCCTGGAGAAGCTAAGAACAAAGGAGTTCATGAGGGCTTGTCTTAGTCTTCTGTCAAAGGATGAATTTCATCTTGTGTAAATGAATCCTTTAACTTTGAACTACTGCAGCTATTACTCCTCTGAACATTTAAAGATTATTTTGTGTGTAGTCATCAGTATGACTCCTAGAGTCCTGAAGATGAATATCCTTGAAACTACGTTCCCAAATTATTTTTCAGCTTGTCCTAACTAGTGCAGCAAATCAGAACAGCAATTCTGCAAGGGTATATTGAATTGCAGAACAAGATGCACCTTGCCTAACTAGGATTTTGCAATTTTCTTTCCAGTTGCTATACCTACCTTTCTCACACTGCCCAAAATACAAGGAGCTTCTGAAAGAAACCTTTGCAACAAGGGATTTCCAAAGGCAATTCAAGCACTACAAGGTGAAGTATTCTCAGTTCTGGAAATCCAGTTAAAGCGTACCACTTCTTCAACATTATCTAACACATAGGTTTTAAAACAACAGTTAATATGCTCCCTTCAGATCTCTGATCTTCAGAGTGGGTGTAGACAACATACCCAAAAAACAATTACAACATTACAGATCCAGCTGGACTGGGCTATTCCCAGCAATTGAAAATGGCAAGTCACAGAAAAGATAAATTATTGACCTACTTGCAAAAACTTAGTTTCTAGGGGACTAGACAAAACAAAAACTCAGATAAAATCAATGTCAATGCCTCTCAAATTATTCCAATACCTCTCTCTGTTTACTCCCATGTGAAGCAACTCCTCTGACATCTCTGTCTATATAAGTCTATGGGTTCAGATGCATTTTCTCAGCTCAATTCCTCAGAATTTCTATAACAGTGTCAGTGTTTTTCTCAAGTACTTATTCATGTTTCCCACCCAAAATCTTAATTTAGGTGTTCCCTTATGTTTTGTGCCTGTCTTCATATAGTATCCTTTCCTTTCTTTCTCCATCATCAAAACCTTTGCATGACTATATAACCACATGTTTATTCTGCTGCAACCTTCTACTTCACATGTGTATTCAAAAGGACACTATGAATCTCACCTGTTTTTCTATTATCTCTCACCACTGACCTCAATCATCCATTTGTGGCTCTGCATCTGGCTATTATATGCAAGTAAATCACAATTCCCATTTTATCAAATTTACATCATACCTCTCCTTCTCCTGAGTACCAGTATCAGAATAATTCTTTCTATCACACTTCCTTTAAGCATTTCTTGGATTTCTGCCAGACTTCTTCATATATCTGCATTCCTTCTACTTCCTTCTAAACATTTTCACCGGGCATAAACAATCACCATACTTCAAATCTGAGCTAAAATCACCAACCTTGTCTAAATGAATAGGCCAAATTCTCTTACATCTAGGCAATGGTTCATTGCTTAAGTGCAAAGACTGTCTTCTTTCTAAAAATTCCTATGTACTACTATGACAGTGTGTAGAAATCATGTAAAAATGCCCTCAGTACTACAAGTTTGGATTTTTTTGTATTCCAGCAATTTCTGAAGTTTTTAGCCACTCATACAGGATATCCAGTGAAGAAGTTGACTAGTGAAAGGATTTGGAAGCTCTCTGACACTTTACAATATGAGGTAAATAGAATCATAGAATCCTTTAGGTTGGAAAAGACCCTTAAGATCTTTGATTCCAATAGAAATTCCTACATTTTCTTACACCTGATATTTTTATTTTGTTTATTTTTTTATTGTAAGACATAAAAAGATCATAAATCAGTGCTTCAAATTTTTTTAAACATCAACTACTTGCATCTTCTTTCCCAGAAACCCCCACCTAATGTCAAACTTACAATTGAAAATCCTGTAAACTCTCTAGGTGTGAGGCTGCTGTGTGTCATCCACCACTGTAAGGAACACAATCTAGTGGACTTTCACATTCAAGATCCAGCCACTGACTGGAGAATATGGAGAATTAGGCAAAAGAATGTATTTGGATAAAATTGTCTTGCAACTCCCCCAGACCCCACTAGGAAATACACAGGGATAAAAATATGTTGCTGGCAAAGAAACATAAGCATCCTTCCACAAAAAATTTATGCAAATTGTATAAGCAAGAGAAACCATTATTTGTACATGGCCAATAGTGGATAGAGTATTTTCAGAAATTAAACAGCCATTGGAATGACACAAAGTTGTACAAGTTTGGGAGCTTGTCCCAGTCTTAAACAAAAATTAAAATTTGACAAAGCAAAGGGACCAGGCATATCATGAAAGATCGTGGATTTTATAACAAAAGGGGTATTGTGGTGCCAAACTGGCATGGGTATCTGGAATTCCACATGGGTATCTGGATTTCCTCAGTTCGGAAATGTCATGATTTGAAAAAATCCTAACTGCCTTTAATTTAGCAAGAAGTCCCACTTCAAAGTCTAGACTTACCCCAGCTGACACAAAATTGCAGAGTGTTGTGTTAAAAAAAGTTATTTTTGAAGGCAGCTTTTGCTACACTTTCATGCATAATTATTTATTAACAAATATTAATGATAAATTGGTTGTCAGTACTGGGATATTAATGAGGGAGTTTTAAGGTGGATTTCAGAAGCAACATGTAATATTTTACAGGGTGTGATACGAATGAGTTTACCTTCATTCCTTCAGTTTTTGCGAAAGTCCAACTTCGATCAAAGCAGACTTGAATAGAATGTCAGCCAGGGCCTTAAGTTAAATGAAATGTTAACATGTTGGGACATCTCACTGTAATTTCAGTGAGGTCACCCTTCCATGTTTTCCAAATGCAGGACCTCGACTTTCTATTTCAGTAGTTAAATCATACCGAGAATCTGTGTCACCAGACAAATCTGGAAAACTCACAGCTCCCATAAAGAATCTAGCTAAACACTGGAATAAAAAATAAATAAATTGTTCTTCTCCTTCTAGTGTTATATTTGATGAGCCTTGGCATTTGATACTACTGACTGAGGACTCTGAGGGTATTAATTAAAGGCATCTGCCATAAAAACCTCTCTCATTTTTCAAGCATACAGAGAGAGAGTGCTTACACAGTTTTTAAATACAATTCATGAAACCACAGTAGCACACATCTCTCTGCATTTGTTATTTTCAGCTAAGTGTTATTTGACTTTCAGGTAACTTGGAGACTGATGTGTTTGCTTGCCTACAGACTGTCTTAAATAGCATGCAACCATCCAATTCTTTCCTCAAGGCATAAATCACACTTATTAAAAGAGAAATGGATAACATTGAGGTCTGAGCTGGTTTAACCTAGCACATTCTATTGTTTTCTTGTTTAAACAAACCCTTAAAGTAGTTGACATTTTCCTTTGAGCTCGCTTGTTACAAGAACAGTCCTTTAGGTAAGCTCAGTCCAAAGGTTACATCGCTCTACAGAAAAATTACCAACCTTGTTTAAACAGGAATTCAGGGTACTGCAAACCAGGAGTGTTGTGCATGTCTTCCCTTCTCACAGTTGTGATCACTAATATACCTTGGACTGCATCCCCAAGGAAAGACTAATCCATTCCACTTTAGCTTGAGGACTGTGGTAGTATCCAATAGACCATAATAGGTACAAATTTAATTTATATCTCATCCTCATATATCTACCCCATACTTCAGTACATCCATACTACAGCTATACATTGATCTCTGTATTCCTCTTACACCTGAGAGCTACCAGTCCTTAAAAGCCTGATATTTATATAGGATTTGTTTCAGTAAAAATACATCCCAGCACATGACTGGAAAAATCATATAGTGATTTTTTTAACCTGACATTATAAAAAATGCCAGTTGCTTTTTGCATAATTTTAGTATTATTAATAAAGATTCCTCTTCTTGTTGAAAACTGCCCTTCAAATTTCTTTCAAGCACTATGATGTTATAAATAGGAATGCTACAGCTGTCTAAATGCAAAACACAGTCATCATTTTATTACAATGAGAAAATGTTACAGGAGTGAAACATTTGGAATTTGTTCAGAGAAGTATTTTTTGCCAGAATAAATAACAGTTAGCAGTAGGAATCGGTAGGAAAATCACCATGTTTTCTTTCTTCACTGTAGGATATTAACAATTACACTTTACCTGTTTGGGCTACTCATGGTGTCAGGACCAAGCTGATAAAGCTGTCAGAATTGTTATTGCAGGCGGAATTTGGGTTCCACAAACAAATACAAAAATCACGTTTGCAGGGAGGTAAGCTGAATTCTTACCCCTTTTAAAACCAAAAGTAGGATGGGAAAGAATAAAGGGTATATGACAAACAATGCTGCTGATTCTATGGTAGAATGGTGAAAGATACCATTGTGGGGATATTGGTGGGCAGCACTGAAATATTTTGATTAATGGGGAGGGAGATGGTGAGCATATGAATCATGACTATCCTAATCTAACATTGTAATTGAGGTATCATTTAGATTACACTGTGTAAGAAATTCAATATAACATACAGATTCTTGTTGAATTGAATCAAGCCTGAACTTAGCATAAGCCACGTGTAACTTAATTAAAAAATATTATTTGTAAGAATGGTGACTCTGTTACCTAACATCTTCATATTCCACTGCTGAGAGTCCTAACATGAGATTACTAAACTGCTTTTACTTTACTCTGCTCAGAAAACAGTGACTAAAATTTGAAAGTATTTTATACCTTTTTTATCACTCATTCTCCTCCATTCATCCACTGTCATATTTTGAGCCTCCTTTTTGTTTTATATGGGCAGTGTGCTGGCAGGATCTGTGAGCTAAGAAGACAAATGAACAAATAACATGAATTAACTTGTTGCATTTTTCAAAGCTCCAACTTGCAAAACTTGGCACAAAGTTCAAACCTCTGCCCTTGCTTTACTAACAATTGCTATTAAAAATGTGCCAGAAGCTAAAGACTAATTCTGTCTAATTTCCTAGTTGGTACAGTTCTACTTTAAGGATTTTAACTTGTCGACGTGCCAACCTTATATTAACATACTAGAGAAGCCATTGATTTAAATCTAGTAGTTTGTCTTACAGTTTTTCAGCAGTTAACATTAACAAAATGCAGACAACCACACAATTTATAAAGCCCCAGAGTCAAGAGGATATGCTCTTTTTTTTCCTCTGGAAAGCTGGAAATCACTCAAGCTACACAGACAACAGGGTAGCATTCATTACTGTGCTCTTCTTGCACTGTTCTGCTGGCACAAAGTAACTGTGAATGCACTGTTTGAAGCTGTTGAGGCTATTAGGGATCCCCAAAACATTTTACACAGAAGTAAAACAGGCCCACTGTTCATTTGAAAGATACTGTCACTATTAATCAAGGCACTCTGCACAAATTACCAGTTGAGTCAATTGAATAAATCTGGTGCACTTAGTGATGGATTGCTGAAATGGCAGCAGTCGATACAGATGTTAACACAAGCATCTCTTTCATTGTCACTGCTTCCCCATTTTCTTTCAGGTATTCTTTTAAAAACTATTCTAAAGCATATCTTAGATGCTAGAAAGCCTTCATACCATCAAAAAATGGTTATGTATTCCACGGTGAGTGCTTTCTGTTTCTCTTGTGTTTCCTTTCTGCAGTTATTAAATGCAGTGAAAGCCATGAAATTTTATTTCCTTCATCAAATACAGCTACAAGCATTTTTTTATTTGGTTAACCTTAAATATCCTAAGATTTAAAAAAAAATTTAATGAACAGATGCTGCTTTGAAACCTGAAGCATTCCACTTTCTACTGAATGTCATGGTTTTTTTCATTGTAATAATGTTTTGATTGAGCAGGGAGCTGGAAAAATCATGCCTCATGTTTTATTAAACCTGGATCACAAAGTTAATTTAAAACAAAATCTCCTTCTTCCTGCATCTTTTTCAAGTGCATATGAGGAAAAAAAGAAAAAAATTAAGTTACAGTTATTTTATCAGGCCTTATGAAGGCAGTTACTCAATTGTGATCTTATATTTTTGTTTAGAATGTACAAATGCTGTCATTGGAGGAGGAAATTTTTGGATTGCTCTCACTAAAAAGCTCCTGTTTCTAAACCGCATTTATATCATGACCTACTGGGTATATATCAGCTAAAGAGCTTACTGATCTGATCTCAAATACTGTATATTTAACCAGCAAAACCACTAGTTCTTTTTAAAAGAAGTTTTAACAGCTCCTATTAAATATGCAAGAGCTGCAAGGGACTAAGACTTCTTAAATATTTACATATATGTATACTTTATACATGCAGGACTTCAGTTTATATAGCCATAAAGGGACAATGTTTGCTCAACAGTGCAGAGGGCAAGTACTAATGAGGCCCTAATAAGGTTAATGTTGAGTGGACAGATAATGTGTGGGAAATATTGTTAAATAATAGGTTCATGCAATCATTTTCAACAGACCTTTAATTAAAGGTTTCCTCTGTTCCCAGCATGCAACCACCATTGCTGCCTTACAGATGGCACTCAATGTCTTCAATGGGAAATTGCCTCCTCACAGTGCCTGCCATTTTTTTGAACTTTACCAGGAAAAAAATGGGCAAGTATCTGCAAGCTATGCTGCTAATATGTACTTTTTCTTAAAAGGAATTTTCTGATACCCAAGACTAATTAAACCAGATACCTGAGGTTCACTATTCAAATAGGGAAATATTACACATTGATTTTAATTATTGTAATTGCATTCATTTTAGTAGTCAGTAGCAGAATAAGCCTGAAAACCATATATATCTATATCTGTATATATATCTTACACTTATGAAAAGTTTTACTCCATCCTTTTTATCTATTTAACTCCTTAGCAAAGACAGCAAACTACATGCAAATTGGTGTTGACACCCTGTTGCTTAATAAGTTCTCTTCACAGTATTACTTATATTAGTAAACCATAAACATATTAGCAACCAGACAAATAAGCTGGCTAAAAGTTTACCCCCAGGTACAATAACTGCAGCATGGAAAGGCTGTGTGGTTTTGCACAGATACCTTTATTTTGACCCCTCTGTGTTTTGAAACAGGCAATACACCATAGAAATGTACTACAGGAACAATTCTTCGAGGGAGCCTCACCCCCTCACTCTCCCTGGCTGCAAATTTCACTGTCCCCTGGAGAGATTTACTCATCTGGTCTCTCCTATCCTCATACCCTATTGGACAAGAGAATGTAGAATGTAGGATATCAAAAGAGGTAAGCTAAGTGCTTTGGACACATGTACCCAAAAATAAAGTCAGGATTACATGTTGAGCCATCAGCTCATTTGAAGTGACAATCATTTTCATAAGGGTCTGCTCTAAAATGAAAAATATGAAGATCCAGGAAAAGAGATTTGTAACCGTGGCTGTCATTTCTCCTCCATCAATACATTTACCTATTCCAGACCAACTTTCTGGTGAAATAAAATCAAAACTGATCTGACTTTAGAGTTCTGTTTTTCATGTGGGTTTTTTTGCTTTGTTTTGGTTTAGTACAGTCAAAAAGACCTTCAGTTACTGAAGAAGTACATGTAAATGCACTGACTTACAATAGTCACCTTTTCCTCTCCAACTGCAGAGTATTTGTCCAAGCTGATTACCAACAGTCAACATTAGGCATTCTCTTGATTTTAGCAGTCATTCAGAGATCAAAACAGATGAATATTGAATAGTACACCAGATTGGTACTTACCAGAATGTCAAAAGTATACAAACACACATTGGTATACTAATTCATTTCCTCATAGCGTGCCTATATCACCATATTAGGATGCTTAAATTTCCATTTTGACCACTTGCAATACTTAGTTTTGCAAAATGAGGAAACAGAAAGGCAAAAAATGGCATTGTCTGTCTTTTACCTAGCTCTATATTACTTAAGGGAAATAAAAATCTAAGAAATCTCAGTTTTCTCATGTTCAAATATTGTACCCAACATTAAAAAAAGTCCCATATGGCTTTCTGAATCACTGATCTCAAGAAGAATTTGAATCGTCAGAGATTATAAGAATGCAAACCAGACAACTCATCTGGTTGAAAATAATTTCCTGTTAAATATCTTGAATCCATTAATAGAGTGGAGATAGTCTGGCCAGAATACACAAAAAATTAGCAAGTAATGATTCACTAAACAAATTTATTCACTATAGTCATTGCTCAAAAATTCTCAGGAAATATTTCAGGAAATTACCATATTTAATTGCAAAAGGTAATTTGGCAGAGGAAGTGGCTGGTTGTTTCTGATGAGTTTTTTTTTCCATTCACAATACTAATACAGTCATGGAAGATGATAATAAATACTTCATGCTTATATTGTAGTGCTTAATAATCTAAGATTTGTGGAAATTAATCCCCCTCCTTCACAAACCAAACTGTGTAACTGATCAGATAAATAAATGAAAAAAATTATAATATATCAAAATTTTACAATAATAATTACATAAATATTTAGCCTTTAAGTTTAAAACAAAGGCTTTATTTTGTTTCAATCCTCACATTTTGCTGAAGCAGAAGTTAGAGGGTATTTAGGCATTTTCCACCAAATCCAGCATCACTGCTTTCATTAGCAATCCTGAATGCTGAAAACACATATAGACCACAAAAGAGGTTAAAACCAAACCTGATACTCCAATAAAAATGTTTTCCATATTGTCATATTAAAATTTGACACTTTCCTCTATTTTATCCTAGTAGATAATATATATGGATAGTTCAGAACAAACCTCTTGGGGCCATATCCTATTTTTTTTTTTTACTAATTTAGGAAACATTAATTTCATTTTTCCTGCAGGCAGTTTTAAACTCTCTGCTGTGCATGAGTGGAACTTGGGAAAAAGCCAAGGCACACTGATCCACAGGCTGCAGAGTGCAGCACACTGACAGACTGTGCTAAACCACTGTGCACTACCAATTCTCAAGGAATGCAGACAGCCTGGAACAGCTGACTTTTAACACCAGTGAGCTAAATTAAGGAGAAGAGTGATGCACAGTTTATAGGTCACAATTACACTTGATGCAGACAGCTGCAAAATCCCTGATTTCAGATGTTTCCAACTCTGTCAAAATTCATCTCAACTATTTTTCATTGCTAATCCATATGTTATTAATTTGATTATGCATGCATGAGAGCATTTTATGAAGCCCATAAATGTGACTTTTAAAAAATTAAAATCCAGAAGTGTGACTGAGCTTAGAAGTGTAATTTATAGAGACAGCTATTCTACAGGGAGACTCCAGTTTGCAAACATACAGATGTTTCCATAAAAAGCTTAATTGAAGTTTTATGGAGAGGATTTATGTCCCCACTACAGGGAAATAAAGGGGTTATTATTATTATTATAGGTCAAGTATTATTATAGGTAACACAATACAATAGCAGTATTTGAGAGTGGTTTAAACCAGCCTTAAGTTCCTCCACATCTCAGTGACCATAGGCTGAAACATAGGAAATAAATAAAGCTCAGCATATTTGGGAAGGAGGTAAATCTGTGAGCTCTCCCTGTGCTCCTTTTGCCACTCAGGAAGATTTCAGCATGGATTGACTCAACATTTCAACAGACTTTTCCAAATCCCATTAAAATGGGAGCAAATGTGTTAACTCCTCTCCATTTAATGTGAACTGCATGCTTGTAGAGGCACTATTAACAGGTTTGCCATGTTTTTGGAGAATGCCATATGCTAAGAATGCACCTCGCTTTTTGTTTTACCTTTAGGTGTTCCCTGCGTTCTCTTCAGTGTGGTTCACTTTATAAAAGAACTCTTCCCACACTGTGATATGACTGTGGTCCAACATTTCTCTTTAAATTCCATCAGCATGACCAACTGAGTCTCCTGATCTCTACCAAAAGAAAACAATCCTTAATACTACAAACAAAATTTATAGAAATCATGGCCTCATTCTTCATGAATATTTTTATCACCTGGTAAAACCTAAATGCAATATGAAACCAGTGGAATTTTTCAAGAACTTCCTTCTGAAGAGACTTTGTCAGAATTAATTCAACTAAGCAATTACAGTTAAAGTGTTTTGAAGGGCTAAAGCCTTGATTTACTGCAAAATTGGAAAATACCAAGGAGTGTTGCCCTCTTTTGAAGAATGAGACAAGAACTTCCAGAATTGGTGACAGAAGCAATGCTTCAAATGGAGACGCCTAAAAGGAGGAGTCATTCCACTTTCCTTATATTTTATTTTACTTAAGAAGCAATGAATCATTTTACACAAACAGATCTCAGAAGCCACAAGAATTAGGATTATGCCTGTTTACTTACCTAAGAGATTTCTCTCTTCTTTTCTCTGCCTTTTACATGCACAAATATTCCATCTCTACATAGAAGGAAGATGAGACTTCTGGAAAATTTGGATTGTGAATCTAGACCTAAAAGGGGCCTAGAAACAGCCAGGCTAGCTACCATGAAGACCTAGCAACAACTGGTTGACCCAACAAGGCCTTCAGATATTCTTTCCAAAAAGACAGCAAAGCCAAGTGTTAATTTTGGAAGAAAAATAATTTTTGGTTTCAAACAGTTTTTTTAACACCTTCCTTTTGTTACATTACCTTGATTGTATATTCTGATCTGATCTGTTCTCCTGGGAAATCTGTAAGCAGATGCTGCTCTTGGTATGAACAAAAAAAAATGGCAATACAAAATAAAAAAATCAGAGCTGCATTAAAATATGCAGAATAAGTTGGGCAATCCTTCACTAGTTATGTTTTCTAATATTGCTATTGTAAAAAACAACTGGTGTCCTTACTACAAAAGCTGGATCAGAAGAATCAGATGCAACGAATTTCTGAAAACAGTGGATATGTCTTTGCTTGAAGAAGCAAAGGTTTCTTTTTTTGCTTGTTTTCTCACAGTGGATAGGACCTTTTGTCAACAGTCTTATTGCCCACAGATCATTTTAAAGAGAAATAGAGTAACAGCTAAGGTGCAGAAAATTTCACCATTCTGGCTTCCTTTCCTCAGATCAGGCTTTTAAAATGGATGCTAAATCTGAAAAGTATATTCTATACAGCATAAGCAGATAACTGCCGCTCTACAAGATAAAAATGAATCAAAATAATAAAAAGATCCCTTTTCCATTCAACAAGAATCTAAGTTTCATAATTCTCACTGTAAATGGCCTATTCTCTTCTCAACAGATCCCAATTTCTGTTCTTAAGTCACCACAGGAAATATAGTTCACCAGGAAAGCTGTAGTTAGATTTCCAGTCAAAAAATAAAACTCCTTTTACCATAGCATCTAAACAATGGTAGAAATGTTTTCTGACAACGTGAGACAACCAGTTCTACCTGCTTCTTAATGCAAAGAAGAGCAAGCTTATTTATTCTGTATTACCCTAATGTCCCATAATGGACACCAGAAGAAAGTCTTCCCAGGTCTGGCAGCCCTCACAGGAAAGTTAGTGCAAGCTCTTAATTTATTCATCTCAAAATCACGCTGATCATCACACCTCCCTTCCTAAGAAGTAATTAAAAAAAACCTGCTAGACGAAAGCAAACAGAAAGGAAAAGCCAAGACTCCATCTTTATCAGTGTTAGACTTCTAACAGATTGTAGCCTTGGCTGTCAAAACCAAATTTCTAGGCACTTTCTCTTCTCAACCTGTTCCTGTTTCTTCTTTTTTTTTGAACTGGTGCCAAATTGTGATTCTTGAGTTGCTTTTAACGTTTTGTTTGCCAGATGTTTAGAAGTGAAAGTTCAAGAGCTGTAAAGGGTAAGTTTCATGCTTCTCCCATCCAAGTTAAGGGTAACTTTTCTGTTAGTTTCCTGAATTGGACAATGCTGACATAGAAAACGTGATAGGGACCTGGGACATTCTTTATTATTCTCTTTAGTCTCCAGTTCCCAGCTCCTCCCCTCCTTCCTAACCCAAATCCATGTCCCAAAAACTTTCAAAGTTGTATGAAGATACTTTGTCCCAGAGATTTGCCTGGTTTGGGGGATCATGGACCTGGATAGACCCTGGCCTCAGCACTTCAGTTCAGTTATGGAAGTGCATCTTATGTGAGGTCACTGCTTACGCTGCAACAATGTAAGGTCTCCCTTTTTACATGTTCAGACAATGTCTTCTTCCATGCTACATGCCCCAGTGTATATACCTTGAATAACCTAATTTCTGCTGAGCAAAAATAAATTTCAAATTCAATTTACAAATTAAGACATTTCTAAATTATTTTATTCCCCCTATCCCTATTGAA